CAACCATTAATCGAAATATTATAAAAATATTTCTTTTCTTGTGGATATCATTAGAAACCACAACCGAACACGTCGATAACAAAAAAAGTATATAACAAATATTTGGAAAAATATCAATATCAATTAAAGTAAAGTTTATCTAACCAATTACATAATCATACTGTAATATAAAGTACAACATGATTAGTTCTAAAGGAAAGTTACCTTGATTAGAACTTTGATCCTTATAATCTTTTATAAGGAGGAGTTGACAAGCCTGTTGAAACTCTTTTTGGGTACTTAGAATAAGAATGATCCACGTCTCCTGGCAAAGATATAACTTTACCATTTTGGCCTACATATAACAGATCAATCCCTATCTTCTTTACAGTAACGTTGTCCGACCACACTTCTATCATCTGGCCATCAAAAAGTTCATCCAAGTCAGATCTGTAATATACACATGACACTTCATTGTGTCCATCAGTTATATCAATATCATCAGTTACATCAATATCATCAGTCGAAGTCGTAATAAAAGTCTCTTTATGGGCAATACTAATCCTGAAGCATGGATTATTCCGGAATACATCGAACATGTCAGAAACAAACCAGAGAACCATTCCTAAGAAGTTATACTCATTATTATTATGTGTCGGCACAGTCAAACACATAGATGAAGCTGTTATTTGATTCCTGCACCATTTTGGAATCTCATTGCATTGGAAATAAATATCTAATCCATCCTGCATCGGACAAAGATTCAAGATCATTAATACGATAGCAACGAGAGAGAGAGAGAGTGGGGGAGAGAGAGAGAGAGAGAGAGAGAGACTAACCATATCTGGATCTTCTTTTCTAGATGCATATAGAGCAGGTGCACTAAAGAAGCCTTCATTGAATGGATTCTGCAGAGAACTACAATTCATCATGATAATCCGCTCTATAGAAGGGAGGTTGTCCAACTCTGTAATCTTGACCAATTTTTGGCAATTCTTAATCTGAAGTATCCTAAGATTCTCTAAATTTGATACTGACGGGAGTGTTTGAAGATTCTCACAGTCATTCAAATACAACTCCACCAATAATCGTAACTTAGAAAAATCAATGGGTAGACAATAGAAATTGTTGCCACTCAAATCTAAATATTCTAAGGAGAATAAGCTCCCAATATCCCTAGGAATATCAGCCTCGGACAAATTACAGTATGTAAGGCTCAAAAAGGATACAAAAGTTGACAAGGAATATTGTATCCGATGGACTCCTCTTCCAGAAATACTCCATTTGGCCTCTAACTTTTCACCTTCCACTCTCAAAGTTACAAGATTTCTTAGCATTTCAACAGATCTAGGCAATTGTTTTATACCCGTGTAAGATGCATAAAGATGTCTTAGACTTCTCATATCTCCAAGGTTATCTGGCAATGTCTTTATAGATGAGCAGCCATCAATGTCCAAGTAATCAACGGATATTAGCTGGCATATGCTGCTTGGAAGATCCGTAAGTTTTTTGCAATCAGACATATATAGTTTAATTAGTCTGGACAAATTTCCTATTGATGGATGGATCTCCGCCAAACTTGAGCAACCATAGAGATACAAAGTCTCAAGACTCAGTGAACCATTGAAGTTTGGAGTGCTTCTGAGTTGCTTGCAACGAGAGAGATTCAACTCCTTCAAACTTCTACAACACTAAAAGTAAACCAAATATAGTTTCAATTAACATTTTCTTTCACTCAGTTACAATAACAACACACATGAAATTGTCAAATTGAGTAACAAACCTGCAAATTCAATTGAAATTCTTGGATATCACTCTCCCGCATATCTAGAACTACAAGATTCTCAGCTGGAAAATTTGACGGTATACACTTTAAAGGACATTTTTTCCAAGACAACCATCTGAGATTCTTGGACAACAACCCAAAATCGCCACTAATATGTAACTCATTGATTATAAGCACCCTAAGATTCTTCATTTTCTCAAATGCTTTGGTGCTCAAGTTCACTCCCTTTAATGTCCCTGGATCTACCCTCAGTGCTTCAACATTTTTGGAACCCTGTAGTTCGGTGAAAAGATTAGTATCTTAAGACCATCTTAAGTCCCACATATTAAGAGGGAAATTTTTTTTTATACTAATTGAAGGTCAACAAAGAGGTTACACCATATGTATCAAGAAAAATGAACTTACACATTAGAGGATGTTAAAAAAGAATGTAAAATTGCTCAGAAAGCTAAGATGAGAGTCTTTCAAAAACTAGCTAGCATCACAATAAATTCACATGGTAATATCAATGGGGAAAAAATATAAATAAAGAGAACAAATTGCATCCTGATAATAGTATCAATTAAAGATAGAATATATATTATATTATATTATATTTAAAAGAATATTTTGTATATACTGTTCTAGAAAAAATAACATAAATGTTCCACATATGTACCTATTCAACAATTTTCAAAAGCGCACATGCCTAATTTCTTCGAGAGCAAGCTTAATTTCCGCAATTAGATAAGCATAGAAAGTCAGTAAGAACATAATTAAACAAAAAAATGATGAATTGAGAAAAAAAAGAAGAATATAAATCAAACATCTCTCAATAACTAATCTTGGAGATAATATGGTCTATGCCCACAAGTGTGTGTGCATATATATATATATATAACCAGAGACGAAAGCACAAATGAATTTAATTCTTATGATGACAATAAAAATTATAAGTGGAAAGAGAAAAGTATTACTGACTTTATTTCCTTGTAGAACATCACAGACTTCTTGAGGGATGAACAATCTACTCCGTTTTCCAGGGTCTCGAGCTGATTCCGTGCGAACAATTTCTCTTCCCATATCTCGCACTAGATCATGCATCTGTAAATAATATGGAGATCTTTGGAGCAAGTGTTTTTGGACTAAAGTTGCAATTGTATATTTAGCATGAAAGCCACATGCATTTAATATTTTAGTAACTTCATACTCAAGAAACCCATGGAAGGTGCACGCAATATCAAGGAAAACAGTTTGTGTTTCATCATCAAGTCCATCAAAGCTTATCTTGAGAATCTTTTGAATATCACTATGAGGAATTGCTCTTAGTTTTTCAACTTCATATCCCCATTCCTCTATTGAACTTCCTTGTAAATGTGAACCCAATGTCACAAGAGCTAATGGTAGCCTACCTGAATAATCGATTATGTCATGTGCCAAATTAACATAATCTTGTGGCGGAAAATGACTATCAAAAGCATGCCAACAAAAAAGTAACATAGCTTCATTGCCATTTAATAGTTTGGCCTCATATCTCTCTTTTTCTCCAAGCCGACATAGCAATCGCTCGTCTCGGGTGGTAATGATTATTAAACTACCCAAACCAAACCAACTTCTTTCTCTTGTTAAGGCTTCTAACTGTCTTTTATGGTCCACATCATCAAGAACAATTAGAACCTTCTTTGCCCTGAGTCTTGCTTTGATTAGATTGATGCCTTGAGCAACACTACCAACTTTGATGCCCTCAGTTTTGAGAGTTTGTCGCAGAAGTTTCTCTTGTAGCTTGACAAGACCAAATTCTTCAGCTTCTGACCTAACATCTGAAAGGAAGTAACTACTATCGAAGAGTCGAAACATTCGATTATAGATAGCTTTTGCCAGAGTTGTTTTCCCTATGCCACCAACTCCGTGAATACCAATCATGCGAACATCATCTTCACATTCATTTTGCAATAACAACTCTATATCTTTGACACGATAATCTACACCAACGGGGTGCCAAGCAACATCTAGTGGTGTCTGGTTGACCTCTTGTAGGACTTGTTGTATAATTTTTTCAATAAACTTTGATTCATGCCTACAATTTTTTTAGCAAAATCAAAAAATTAAAAGAAATACGTATACTACCCCAGTAAATAAAACTTTGATATTTGAAAATATTTGACGGACAAATCATATAGGATACTTTAAGAAATAATTTAAGTTATATATAATGATAGTGTAAATATTTTGATAATGTCAATGCATAGAACTTAAACTCTTTTGAATTGTTAGTATCACATCCTATAAACAATTGAACAAATAACAAGTGAAATTATATAGTTGAATCAAGAAAATGTACCCGTCAGTAACATTTTGCAAATCCCATCCAGATAAATTTGCAGCTTGAGTAAGAGCAGCTCTCCATTTCTCAACCCTTTGAGCTCCAAATGGTCGTTCCTTGTGTTTAGCCAAAGCATCACCAAATAACACAATTTGCTTTCGTACCTCAGAAGGATCAACATCATAGAAAATAGGCAAAACCATCTGTTTTAGTTTCTCTTTGCATTCAAGAATTTTGACTAGTTCATTTAGACACCAACTAGAGGAAGCATAATTTCTTGAGAAAACAATAATGGAAATTCTCGACTCTTCAATTGCTTTCTCTAATTTGCTTGAAATCACGTCACCTTTTCTTAATTCCTCATCGTCAATGAAAGTATTAATTCCAACATCACGCAATTTGGAATAAAGATGACCAATGAATGTTTTTCGGGTGTCTTCACCTCTAAAACTCAAGAATACTTCATAAGAGAAGTGAGATGATGTAGACGATTCTCCTCGAACTAATTGAGTATCCATTTGATGAATTAAGGGATGATTTTTCAGTAAATCTTTAGACCGAAAACACAGAATCTAATCCATGGCCGTCCCCTACCCAGTAATAAAGTTCATATCTCACTTTCTATCTCCTCCATATTCCTTCCTCCTCCACTTCTTCTTTCCTTAACCCTCAACTCTGCAAAAATTCAAGCTATTAGCGACCCAATTTGCTGTAGCAGCAGGAAGCCCAACTCGAAGCCCAACAACTTGCCCAGTCATTCACCTCTGCCGCCCTAAAACTCTCCGCATGCTCCTCACCCGACGCCGGCAGCGACGGAGGAAGTGATCGACGGCTATTGTCCGAGGACGATGCGTCGCCGGATAGGATTTTCAGCGACGGAGATTCGCCGGATATAAAGGAAGGGGTGTGAGAAACAAGCTCTAGGATTTGTTCGTTTCGTCGCCGGAAAATTCGAGAGAGGGATTTTCAACGGAAATTTCTAGCGCTAATTGCCCTTATTAGAGAATAAATAAAGTAAGTTTTGAATCCTATTTTTTTTTCAAAAAAGAAAAGGATGATTTTCAGCCTGGAAACTTTAAATCTTGGGACAAGTCAACTACAAAGGAAGTTTCCCTTGATATTTCTTAGACTTTGTGGTTTGAAACTTGGGGGGTGTGTTTGGTCTAACGAAAATTTTCTCTGAAAAATGTTCTTTAAGAAAATATTTTTTTGAAAAATAAATAGTAATCTTATTCATTTTTCGGTGTTTGGTATGCAAATTAAGGAAAATGACTTCTCAAGAGTATTCATAAATAATTTAGATATAATAAACATGAAGCCATTTAAACTTTCAAACCAATAACCTTTCGAATCCATAAATTTCATAAAATTTCGAAATCGCGGAATTTCGAACCCGTAAACTTTATAATTTCTAAACTCATAAACTTTCAAACACATAAACCTCTAAACTCATAACTTTAAAACTTGCAAAATTTTAAACCTTTAAATCGATAAATAAAAAAACCAAAACTAAAAAATATATTTAAAAAATATTTTTTCCGATGCCTTGGAGGGGAGGGGGCAGAAAAATAAAAAAAAAACAAAATTTGAAATTACAAAAAAAAGTAAGAAAAAATAATTGTTGGAGGAGGGGG